CAGCACAGTGGGTACTCACCGCGGACTCAAACTAGACCTCGCCATCCGTGGGGGGCTGCGATCTGTGAAACTGTCGCCACTTTCGAGGCCTGCTGGGGGGCCCAGCACAGTGGGCACTCACCGCGGATTCAAATTAGACCTCGCCATCCCTGGGGGGGCTGCGATCTGTGAACCTGTCGCCACTTTCGAGGCCTGCTGGGGGGCCCAGCACAGTGGACTCACCGCGGATTCAAATTAGACCTCGCCATCCCTGGGGGGCTGCGATCTGTGAAACTGTCGCCACTTTCGAGGCCTGCTGGGGGGCCCAGCACAGTGGGTACTCACCGCGGACTCAAATTAGACCTCGCCATCCCTGGGGGGCTGCGATCTGTGAAACTGTCGCCACTTTCGAGGCCTGCTGGGGGGCCCAGCACAGTGGGTCGCCACGCGCGGACCAAATTAGACCTCGCCATCCCTGGGGGGCTGCGATCTGTGAATCTGTCGCCATTTTCGAGGCCTGCTGGGGGGCACGGCACATTGGGCACTCACGGCGGATTCAAAGTAGACCTCGCCATCCCTGGGGGGCTGCGATCTGTGAAACTGTCGCCACTTTCGAGGCCTGCTGGGGGGCCCAGCACAGTGAGCATTCACCGCGGACTCAAATTAGACCTCGCCGTCCCTGGAAGGGCAGCGATCTGTGAAACTGTCGCCCTTTTCGAGGCCTGCTTTGGGGCCCAGCACAGTGTCGCAACGCGCGGACCCAAATTAGACCTCGCCATCGCTGGGGGGCTGCGATCTGTGAAACTGTCGCCACTTTCGAGGCCTGCTGGGGGGCCCAGCACAGTGACGCCACATGCAGATTCAAATTAGACCTCGCCATCCCTGGAGGTGCTGCGATCTGTGAAGCTGTTGCCACTTTTGAGGCCTGCTGGGGGGTCCAGCACAGTGACGCCACACGCAGAGTCAAGTTAGACCTCGCCATCCCTGGGGGGCTGCGATCTGTGAAACTGTCGCCACTTTCGAGGCCTGCTGGGGGGCCCAGCACAGTGTCGCAACGCGCGGACCCAAATTAGACCTCGCCATCCCTGGGGGGCTGCGATCTGTGAAACTGTCGCCACTTTCGAGGCCTGCTGGGGGGCCCAGCACAGTGGGTACTCACCGCAGACTCAAATTAGACCTCGCCATCCCTGGGGGGCTGCGATCTGTGAAACTGTCGCCACTTTCGAGGGCTGCTGAGGGGCCCAGCACAGTGGGTACCCACCGCAGACTCAAATTAGACCTCGCCATCCCTGGGGGGCTGCGATCTGTGAAACTGTCGCCACTTTCGAGGGCTGCTGAAGGGGCACAGCACAGTGGGTACCTACCGCAGACTCAAATTAGACGCCGCTTTCGTCCTTGTTCTCCTCCTGCAGTCACCTTCCCTCTGCTGCTGCCGTGCTGATGGCTCGGCTTCCCGCACGTTTTTCTCGTGCTCTGCGTTCCCGACTCCCCATGTCCTCTTCGAGCCTGTAGCTGTCGCCCCTCGTTCTTGTATGGTTCTCCTGCGCATCATGCCATAGGCGCGTGTCCCAAGTAGCTTACACATCAAGTTGATTGTCCATGCAAGTTTCGGCCAACTCCTCGTTTCCATTGATACAAATGGGTTGGGTACGTCACAGGGTAATTTATCCTTGAAGTCCTGGCGACTCGATTTGTTGCGAACCAAGCGTTTTCGCTCGATTGCGGGCCCTGGGGTCCTCACAGATCGATCCGGCTTGAAAAATGGCGCAGAAAGATAGGGTCGGGTCGTGATGTTTTGCGATGTGGCATTTCTTTGGCAACGCCGGGCTTCAGGGATTCTCTGGCGTACGTGGGAGGGCGGGGGCTGGACCCCCACCCGCACATGCTGGTGCTCGTGCGCACACTGTGGCGATCGCAGCGCACCCCCGCCTGGACGTGCCCCACCCCGCCCAAGCGTTCCCGTTCCCCGGCCCCCCAGCGCGGGGTCACTCCCAGGCGACGACCGTTATGCCAAAGTAACAACAACAGCCGGATGGCGCAAGGGAGGCGGTCTTCTATGAGAAGGCGGACGGGCTTTGAGAAGGCGGGGGCCTTCTTGGAGGGCCACGGAGGCTTCTGACAAGGTGTCTGAGGAGCCGGGCGAACTCCTAAGAAGACCCCCTGCCTTCTTAGAAGCTCCGCTGCCTTCTGAGAATCCCCACCCCCCTCGCGCCTTTCCCTTTGCGCCGCAAAAGACGGTCCAGAACTCTTGCTCAGCGTGTCGCGGCGGCGGCGGCCCCAGCGCGACGCTACGCCTTGCGAGCTGATAGCGTGTCGCTCCGCTCCGTGGGGCGGGAGTCCGGAGTCCGGGAAGAGCTCCTGACGTTGAAGCTTGTGAATGGGGGCCACGTTGGCGTGTGCTGGCAGCGCGACGCGCTAAGCAAAAGGTCTGGATCGTAGGACCAAGGAAGCGCGACACCATCGCTGGAGATGGCACTCCTGGTGGTGGTGGTGGTGTCGCTCCTCTTTCCACCGACGGGGAACTGCTCCTCCGCCGCTGTCCAGAAGCATGGGCTCAACAGGCGACGGGTCCAGGGCCGCTCCACGGCCGCAACGCCGGACCGCTCGGGAGGGGAGAGAAAGATGGGAGAGGAAGCTGCGGCCAGGTCCCAGCGGGGCAGGGTTCGGAAAACTGCCGGGAGGCGAGCGTCAAGGATGGTTGACGCTCGCCCTCGCCAAACAGTCAGCACGCACGTTCTGGTGTACTCTCCGTCTGGCGGCCTGTGTCGCATGGGCTGGTAGCATCGCCCCAAGAGGCGTGGGAAGGACTTCCTGTCCTGATCAGTGGCAGTGCCTCGAGCGATGCCAAGCAGCAGCCGTGCAAAGGAAATGCAACGGGCGGTCGGACATTCTTATGTACAAAGCAGTCGAATTCGTTGTCGTGTGCCCAAGCCTCCAGGATTTCAGAAGCAGAATCCGAATTCGCGTGGGGACCTTATCGGAGGAGAGGAAGGAGAGGAGGGCCAAGTGGGAAGAAACATAAGAATCATTATCCCAGTGCGACCCTACCTAGGAGTTGGAGCCCCTAGGAAAGCGGCATTAGTAGTAACAGAAAAGCTAAGCTACAGCTAAGATAAAGCTAAGCTAGAGCTAAGCTAAAGCTAAACTAAAGCTAAGCTAAAGCTAAGTTAAAACTAAGCTAACGCTAAGCTAAAGCTAAGCCACAACTAAGATAAAGCTAAGCTAAAGCTGGGCTAAAGCTAATCTAAAACTAAGCTAACGCTAAGCTAGAGCTAAGCTAAAGCTAAGCTAGAGCTAAACTGAAGCTAAGCTGAAGCTAAGCTAGAGCTAAGCTAAAGCTAAGCTAAAGCTAAGCTGACGTTAAGCTAGAGCTAAGCTAAAGCTAAGCTGAAGCTAAGCTGAAGCTAAGCTAAAGCTAAGCTGAAGCTAAGCTAAAGCTAAGCTAAAGCTAAGCTAAAGCTAAGCTAAAGCTAAGCTAGAGCTAAACTAAAGCTAAGCTAGAGCTAAGCTGAAGCTAAGCTAACGCTAAGCTAGATCTAAGCTAAAGCTAAGCTAAAGCTAAGCTGAAGCAAAGCTAGAACTAGTTAAGCTAAAGCTAAGCTGAAGCTAAGCTGAAGCTAAGCTGAAGCTAAGCTAGAGCTAAGCTAGAGCTAAGCTGAAGCTAAGCTGAAGCTAAGCTAAAGCTAAGTTAAAGCTAAGCTGAAGCTAAGCTGACGCTAAGCTAAAGCAAAGCTAAAGCTAAGCTAAAACTAAACTAAAGCTAAGCTGAAGCTAAGCTGAAGCTAAGCTAAGCTGGGTGAACCCAGGGGGCGCAACTGGGGGAACCGCGGGGCGGGGACTGGGGGAACCGCCCGGGGCGGTTTCCATTGCCCGGCCCCTTTAAGCTAAGAGAGTAAGAACCCTTCTAGGCAGAGCCTAGGTAGGGAATAATAATAACAAGGAGTGAGGAGGACGAAGACAGGTGGAAGGGACAAAAGGGGCTTGGGCGGGAAAGGGGAGGATGAGGTGAATGAGTGTGGGTAATTAAGTGCGCGTAAAGACGCCCATCTCATCTCCAACGAATGGACCGAACTGCCGGCTGCCTCATACACACTCATAATATAACAAAAGGTACGTGTGTATACCTTCAGCCTGCTGTGTGGCCAGTCGTGCCCCACAACTGTCCAGCCGGGGGCACGGGGCTCTCTCCCCAAGGAGATGCTTGCCTGCAAAGGGGACACCTGGAGGATCCGCCAGGCGCTTGCGGCGCAGCATGGGGCGTGCCAGAATTCCTCCTGCGCAGCTGTGCGGTGCAGCCGTCGTGCTACCATCAGACAATACCCAATAATGTGTCCGTCGTGGTCGTCCCAAGGGCGCCACCCGCCTCACAGCGTGCCGCTCCCAGGCAACAGCCACCTCCTGGCAGTCTTGGCTCTGTGTGCCAACATCTACCTCAAGACGTCTCCCAATCTGCGCGAGGCGGGGGTTTGTACACATCCACCGCCAGGGGGCGGTGGATGTGCATATACCTGTGCACCCTGGGGCCCAAACATGTCCATATCCACCGCCTCGCGAGGTCCGGGAACATCACATTCCGAGGCGGTGGACATGGACACATCCCAGCTTCAGAATGACTGTCTCAATACGGCTGCAGGATGTCCCATGACCCGCCAAGTGCGCCCAAGGAGCTCTCCAGTAAGCTTCTGGGAGACCCCTGAGCATAACACGCCGATGCTCGATCGATGCGATTGGCTGCCACACTTCCCTGCGCAAGATGGCTTCAAGAAGGCATCCGCTAGCCCCAAGACGGCCTTACGACAGCCCCAAAAGGGCCCCAACTGGAGCCCAAGACGGCCCCCAGAGGGCCCCGGAACAGACCCAAGACCCGCACAGTCGACTGCAAGATGAGTCAACGGAGCCGCTTCGGGAGCGCTCCGGACAGCCCCACAGCCCCCCAACGGCCCCAGGCAGGCACCAAGGAGGACCCCAGGAGGGGCCAAAGATGACCCCAAGAGGCTCCAAGCACGCCCCAAACATGCCTCCGTGAACCTTCTGCCAAGACTGCCGAAACTGGCGACACACAGCAAGCACACACAAAAACCATGCACCGCTGCGGCTGCGCCCCGCTGCCCCAATGCGGCGCGTACCTGTGTTGGGGGGAGCTCGGCAGAACCGTTGTGCCTGCATGTCGATCACGCGCTGTGACCAGACTTACCGCAGGCAGCAGCTTGGAGACCTCCACCGCCGACCGCACGCATGACAAGGGCATCTCAAGCGCTTCTCGGGGCGAGAGCCAGAGGTTCTCACCCCGAGGAGGCGGGGGGATGAGGGGGGGGAAGTGCGCGGCGTGCGCTTACCTGGGCGACACTCGAGCTGCCCCTGCGCTGATGCCCAGAGGCACGGCCGAGGGAGTGTCAGACCTCGGGGCGCGAAATGGCGGTAGCGGCGAGTGCCAGGTGGGAGATCAAGAGTACTCGACAGGAAGCCTGGGGCAGCGTTTGGCGGGGCACGGGTCAGGAAAGTGCCACGGAGAAATATCGCCGACCCCCGCTTGCCAGGGGTACAAAAGCGCGGGTGACATTTAGCTATCACCCCTCCCCCTTTTCCCTCCCTCAGAGTCCAAGACCTCTCGAACTCATCAACTTCGGATCCTCGACATCCACCTCGCGTGGCCTCCAATATGTGCCAAATGCTTTCCAAGATGGACGAATGACGCCAACGCGCTCGAACCGCCTCAGGAACACCCAAGATGAACTCCACACGTCCCTCGAAGCCTCCAAGACGCTACAGAAGGGCCCCAAGAGAACCCCCAAGAGAGCCTCACGGGAACAAACGCCATTGCTGTTTCCAGGAGCTGTGCTGTTGTTTCACGCTCTCGCCCTTCTGGGCTTCTACTAGCCCTGGGCGCTCCGCGAGGCCCCCCAAGAACGGCCCATCCCGGCCCAGGAAGCCCCCGCGAGGGCGCAGGGGCTGCCTGCCCAACAGGCCCCCCGGACGGCAACAGAAAACGCCCTCACGAGGGCCCCACACGAGGCCCTCGGGAAGCCCCCAGGCAGACCCCCCACCCCCCCCACCCCCCAGGCGCCTCGAAGAGGCTCCCACGAGGCCGCCCCCGAGGCCCCCAAGAGGCCCCCGATGATGGGCCAATTTTCCACCACCACTACCATAGGCAGGACCGGGGAGAGGGGAGGATGGAGAGGCCCTCCTCGTCCTCCTCCTCCTCCTCCTCCTCCTCCTCCTCCTCCTCCTCCTCCTCCCTCTCCTACCCATGGTAGTGGTGGTGGTGGAAAACTGGCCCATCATCCAAGAAGCCCCGCAGCAGACGTGGAGGAAGAGGATGACACATCAGCAGCAACTACCCGCAGGGAGCACGACGGGCAGCGGCAGACAACACACAGGGCATCGAAAGCCGCACCAATCCTCTTCGGTGGTCGGTGGAAAGGCCTAAGCTTCCTGAAAGCCTGGAGAGGATGCAGGATGATCCCCACGGTCCCCGCCAAACAACTGGTGTGAAGAGGTAGTCGCCAACATACCCTCTTACATATGCTCTCCCCATGGCGGCCTGTTTGATACGTGTTCGGCGGCGCGCCCCAAACGCAAGGACACACTTCCCCTCTGAATAGCGTCACTGCCTCGAATGGTGGTCAGCAACGGTCGTACAGACACGAGCGAACAAGCGAACGGGCATGCGTATGTACACAGCGTTCAAATTCATCTGCCCATATGCAGAAACAGCGTCTGATTTAGCTCACGCGCGTGTAGAAGTAAGCGGAGGCCACTCGTGCGAGTCCATGTCTGGTGAACATGATTTTCAATCCCGGCCCACCCCTCACTTCTGATGAAGCATCAAGCGTAATGGCTGCCACATCCGAACAACCTCATCGTGGAAGCTTTCCGTATGAGCGAGCCAAACCATCCTAATTAGAGCGGAACCATGGGCACCCCTGCGAAGCCTACAGAGGGATCATGGGCACATGCTGCCAGGTTAGGCTTCATCCATGAGCTGGGCTCCGAGATCCAAAGTCAGACGGCGTGTTTTGTGCAGCTGCACTGAAACTTCGAAGCCAACGAGCGGATCAACGCCAACCCCGGTGCTGGACTGCCTACACCATCCGAGGTCCCGCGCTAGAGGTGGCGCACTCAGAGAGACGCAAGCCTCTGGCCAGAGCCAGGACTCCCAGCGCTCTCTCCAGAGTCGGAGTACTGCTCCCGCGGGGACGCGGTCGACACCGAGCTCGACGCGCACGTGTCACGAAGGTAGCTCTTGACAGGTGCATGACACTCGTAGTGTCCGTGGTGCACAGCTGGATCCTTCGCGGAGCTCGACGCGCACGTGTCACGAACGTAGCTCTTGATAGGTGCATGACACTCGTAGTACCCATGCTGCACAGCTGGATCCTTCGCGGTCTCGTCCATTGATGTCAGGCGGGACCATCGCTGCATACGACCCGAAGGCAGTATCTTATACATCATGCAACTGAGGTAGCGGCGCGAAAGCAAAATTCCTGTTCAGGACGCACCTTCAGCCAAAACAGCTTTAGCGAACATGGTTACAGAACGTGTTATACTCTGCCAGTCACCTTTCAAGCCGCAAAGCGCCTCATGTCAGTAGGGTGGGAGCCTCGTCCAGGCACAAGGGTCCAGACATATACCTCACCTGCTCACCAGAGAAGCACGGTCACGCTGGGCTTGTCCTGTGGCCACCCTGCACATGATCCAGACAAATACATTCAATCCTCCATCTTGTGCACCTCCTCTTCACCCCGCTCCTTCTCGGAAAGATCCGCCACCGCCCTGGGCAGCGGCTGGTGTGCGTCGCGTCATTTGCAATTTCATTGGTTCGCTTGCTTGCTAAACCATCTCTGCGGCCACATAACGCGCACCGAATCTAGCATGCGTCCGCCCTGGCAACCAAGTCTCCTCGTTGGTCGCCTCCCACGCGAAAAACGGAAACACAAGAAGAAACCCCCGAGCCCCACGCCCCCCCCCGCCGATGCCCCACTTCCCCTACCCAGAGGTTTTTGGGGAAACCCAACGGGACCAATACCGCTACTCCCTAGACCTCTCCCGGTGTGCGTTCTGACTAGAATTTCGAAGCGAATTCAGCTATGGTGGCGAGGGCCTCCCAAGAGACCCAAAAACGGGAAAGCGGGGGAAGAGTAGCGGTGTGGGTACCTTTCCCTCCTCTGACCACTTCCCCTCAAAGGGGAAGCCGTCATCATCCTCCCTTCTATTCATCACTCCTCCTTCTCCTTCTCCCCTTCCTCCTCCTCCTCTTCTTCCTCCTCCTCCTCCTCCTCCTCCTCCTCCTCTTCCTCCCCCTCCTCCTCCTCCCCCTCCTCCTCCTCCTCCTCCTCCTCCTCTCCTCCTCCACTCCTCCTCCTCCTCCTCCTGCTCCTCCTCCTCCTCCTCCTCCTCCTCCTCCTCCTCCTCCCCCTCCTCCTCCCGCGACACAGATAGGCGAACCAGAGGGGAAACGACGACTGGGGTTTTGTCGTAGCGTGCCTCCTTCTGGCCGCCAGCCCGAGCCGTCTTTTGACCGCCCTGGCCGAGCCGCAAGCGGCCTCGACAGAGGCCGACGACGTCCCAAAGCCGGTCACCACTCTTTGAACGCAGTTTTGGACTCGCGGCCACAATGGGCGTTGTTGGGGGGGAGGGAGGATGGGGGGGGGATGCGGGGGCATCAGGTGGCGCCCCACCCCCTCAGACTGTGGTGCTGGACGCACTGCGGCAGTGCCGGGGACGCACTGAGGGGGGGAGCGTCACGTGATGGGGGAAGGGAGGGGAGGAGGGTAGGGGGCATAACGCGCGTTATGGCTCGGAGGGTAAACAAACACTCTCCACACTTTCTGTGGCGCCGCCGGGTACCAAAAGTCGTAAGACAAAGCATAATCGAGACGAAATCCAGTTATGGTGCATCGAGAATCTCTGAAATCCAGCGGCTCTGACTGATGTCTTGGGCGCCGTGGCCTTCTCAGAGCGTTCCGGAACGCTCTGAAAACGTTCCCGCACGCTCTCGAACGGATCAATTATCGTCCTGGCCCCGTCCGAGGTCTGCTCCCCGTGCACGTCGAGTTTTCAGGAAATGACTTTGTCCTCTGGCGGCCGCTCGGGACGACCAAGGCACCCCCGGAACGCCCTCGGCGAGGCCCAGCTGCTGAAGAGCACGCGGAGGCTGGAGAACGTCGGGGACCCGACTAGGAGGGCACAAACTATACACCCACACCGATCCTGGCCAGGCTCATCCTGAGCCCAGGGTTAGTGAACACACCTGCCTGGCTTGGCCAGGAAGGCATACACACCGAGCCTAGGCTCAAGATTTAGAGACATCCCCAAAAGGACCCGAACAGATGGGGTCGGAAGGATCGCGCCACATTGACGATGAATCGCCGATCCATTGGCGATGCGTCCGCAACGTCGGCGATGCCTCGGCCAAGACGGTGTGCGGAACATCAGGCTCCACCTTGAGCCCCATCGCCGATGCATCAACGATGCGGCGCGATCCTCCGACCCCATCTACTTCGACCCCATCGGGGAGGCCCGGAGGATTGGCCTGGTGGCCAAGATCGGTGTAGGTGCATAGTTCGCGCCGTCCGCCCGACGAAACGCTCGCGCGTCGGCCAAGAGCGCCATCTAACGCTCCCGGGGGCGGCCGGCCAACGCGCCCGCCGCGGCACAGCTTTTTGGACGCCCGCATGGGGTACAAACAGAAGCGGGCATACGATGCCAAACAAATGTCCCAAACAGACAGCGGCCGCGACGGCGAGTCCTGCCCAGAAGGAGCAGGAACTGCGGCTGGTCTTCGTTACCCACTCTTTCCGTGCCCGATGTCCGTCGGCTAGAAGCGCCTCCGACGCCAACGCCATCCCTCCCTCTGTCCCTCCCTGCCCCCCTCCGGATGAAGAGTAGGGTGGGAGGAGGGCGGAGGAGGATGAGAGGGGAGGAGACGAACGCTACAGGCGTGCTCCTAGAGTCCGCTAAACGCAAAAGGAGGAGGGGGCTGGTTCTAGTTTGAGATCAGCCCCCCAGGGACGACCGTCCCTGGGTGGGTGGCAGTCGAAGACTTCGAATTAACGCCATCAGGAATCAGGAATCAGGAAGAGGGGGTGGAAGAGGAGGAGAAGGAGGAGGAGGAGAACGAGGATCGCACGTAGCTAAGCGAACCACGTGTCTTGGTCTCAAGCCGCGAGCGAGCTGGCCGCTGCAGCCAACACCTCGAGGTGCACGTTCTAATGTGAAGGCGGTGCCGATCCAGATGACCGCACACTCAGTTTATGGTAAAGGTTGACAGCGAGGGCGATGAGAAAGACAGCGCGCTCCCGTGAAGTCTCCCCCGCATATTCGGACTCCTCTTCAGATCCGAACCGCGTGATGACAGAATTGGGAAGGGAGGATCGGGGTAAGGCGACGAGGTGGAGCAGGCGCGGGCATGAGAGGCAGTGAGACATGAAACCAGGCATACTCTCACATTCGAAGACATATCCACGCTGGCCCAGAATGTGCATTCTGTGGGAGGTGATCCACCCACCGGCCAGGGTTTTGAGCACCGACCAGAAAATTGCGGGGCGAGACAACGACAGGATGGCTTGTAGGGCGAACCAGCGCAGGGCCAGGGGAGAAACCTGAATCTCGGGATACAGCGCTCGCGCGCTTCTGCAGCGTCAGGTGCAAGCGATCTGGGTCTGGCTCTCGGGTGAGTGGGCGAATGTACACCCCCTGGAGCTTTGGGCGCTTTTTGAAGCACCTCGGTCTGGGCGGCTGCTCGGGAGACCTCGGCAGCCGCATTGCGCTAAGGGGCCGAGGGGACCTTCGGGAGCGCGACCGATAGCGTAAGATCGCGCAAGGACTGCACTATGGCACGCTGGTCGCGCCAGAAAGGTGGGCTCCAGAGCTCACGGGCGTGTCGAACGAGCGTGTTGCCCGAAAGCGACGCCTCAGAGCTCAGAGCGCCAGACATCGCATTGTGGGATCGTCGCGCGGGCCGTGCGCCAGCTCGCTGCTGCAGTTTATGCGGCGAGGGACTGCGGGGCAGCCCCAGGGGCCCATGCTCGGAACGACCGTAGACCGGGGCCCGTTAAAGAGCTGGGCGGCAGCTTCAGCAGCTTGCGCATACAACGCCGCCCCTTCGTGAGAAACAGCGTGCGCCTCGGAAAAACTGAGCCACGTGGCCTACGGCGCGGAGAATCGCGACTCGGCTGTGGTGGAGGGAGGCGCCAGGAGGCGAGTTGGAGGCCGACGTCTTGAGGATTCTCTCCCACCACTTCTGCGTGCGGGCTGTCCATTGCTGAGCGCTGGTGCTATCGGGCCCCAAAGACGCACCTTGGTATTTGGCAGGGCCTCCCATCGTGAAGGGTCGCCATTTCGGCGGGATGGCGCGGGGGGCCGCTCGCGCGTCCTCGACCACATCTGGAGTGCTCTCTGCCAGCGGCGGCACTAGCACAGGAGGCGGGGAGAGGCCACCCGCGCAGCCGCCGAGCGAGCCGTCGCGAGGGTCAAGGGGGGAGCGCCAGCTCAAGTGATCTGATGATGGGGCCCATGCCAAATGCCCAGAGGGACCCGCTCAGTGGGCACCACTGCGTCACGCCTGAGATAGTAAGCGGCAGCAGCACGACTTCGTCGCGGACGCGGGCAGAGGCCAGAGCGCGGGCGCACATGCCTCGAACCGCGGCCAGGCACCCAGGGGGGGGGGGCATGCGTTGAAGGGCAACCAGACGCCGCGCGCGATTCACGCTGGGGAACGCCGCCTTGATATCGAATGCCACAAACAAGGGCATCCGGCAGTCAGCGTACTCGCGAAAGCCGACCGCTCTCGCGCGAGCGTCGAGCTTCGCTGCAGAAGCTGCGGCCTCTGATAAAACCCTGTTGGGTTGCGTGCGCTCGCTCTTGCGCTAAGTTCGCCTGCGGGAATTGATTGCTGACGCCGTCGCTATGGCATCGCAGTTTCTGAAAGATAACAGTCGCACCTCTGATTCATTGCGGAGGCATTCGAGCGCGTCGCCGATCCTGCCACGCTTCGGTGGGGAAATCATAATCGAACGGTCCAGGGGGGAGGGGCTGGCAGGGAGCTGAAGAGGCGAAGGAAGACGGGGTAGAGACAGTCAGTGGTGGGTGGGGCGGCCTGCCAGGCCTGGTGCGAACGGCGGTCTGGGCCAGGCGCCGAATTCCGCCCTCGCTTAAAAGCTTCAATGAGGGCATCCTTCCAAAGAGTCGGCGGGTCAACAACTGGGAAAACGGACGAAACATTGTCCGGGAAAACGTCGATTTCACCCCGTGAAACGCGACTATCCAAACAAATCTGAGTCCGACGGAGTCGGAGCGCACGGGCGACAACTTCTGGCTCTCTCTGGCCGCCGGCGGGAGCATGGAGCCTCCGCCGCTGATCCTCAGGTTTTGGGCAATTTGACTGGCCGCGATACCGCGCAAGACAAGGCGCTGTGAAAATGGCGCCCAGGGCGCCGCTCAACGCTGGAGGGCGCGCTGGATGCGGAGCTGCCCCATCGAGGGTTGGCCAGTCCTGTGCGCGAGCCGCGCGAGCAGCCGCGAGGCGCTAGAGCCGCTCATGCCATGCTTGGTCACTGCGAACAACGGCACTTTGAAACTCAGCCGCGTCGCGCAGCCGTCGGGGGGGGGCCCTGAAACATCCAAAAATGATCGCCCAAGCTCTGTGGCAGCGGCAAGTCGACAGGCAGCGGCAAGGTCAGAGCGCCAGATGGCGCGCGCAATGGCACGGGGCGCGAGCCGCCTACCCTCCGGCACGACGACGTCGCCCGTGCCCAGCCGGAG